TTTCTTCACCTCACCTCACCCCACCCCCACCCCACCCCAAAATCAGAAAATCAGTTGCCAGCACCAACACTCTGCTGCACCGCTCACGACCACCGCAAATCGCTACCACCATCACCACAAATCTCAAACAACAACTCGTGTTTTCAATTCTCCTCCACTGTAAACGAATTTTTTATCAAATGCAATTTCAAAATAATGAGTAAACTTCTCCATTCAAACTACTTTTTCCCTTCAAGTATTGTATGGCCTAAGTTATGAACAGCCCATCATTGCAATCAAGAGCTTCGTCGATGCATAGGCGGAAAAGGGACCCATTGAATTCTCGCAATCAATTTCCCCTATTTTTTATACATCCAATGACCCTAATACTGTTCAAATGGCCACCGGTGTTCTCCTCACCGGCACCATCACTGTTGTTTGCATAAAAATGATAAATGTAGAGATGGAATTTGAAGTGGGTGCGTGGATAATACCCGGTGGGGATTCCACCCTCGTCAAGAAAATTGGGCGGAGATTCTTTAATTTTGTACTCTTCTTCTGGTGGGAATTCGAATTTTGTCAATAAAACTGTTTGTAGTGATGTGGTGTTTACTCCTTTGGATATGGTGAAGGAAAGGTTGGGGAAGAAGATTAATCCAATTGGGGATGGTGGCGGTGCGGTGGCGGTGGCGGTGGCGGTGGTGCCATGGGTGGTATCGGCGTTGGGTTGATTTGGTAGGAATAGGTGAAGGCAGGGGTAGGTGGAGGGGTTGAGGGATCGACGTAGTCGATGGTGGTGACTGTGACCCTAGTGGTTTTGGCCAAGTTTTGCTCACGTCGGGCAAAATTGTGGATTTGGGCGCGGGAATGATGGTGGAGGTGGGGGGGCGACGACAACTGTGGGCAATAGTGGTTAGTCGTCGACGAGGAGGCATATTTTTTGAAAGGTTGGAGACTGTGTGTAGCACAAAGTGAAGTTTAAAGTAAATTCTGCAAAAAGTGAAATGTTAGGTATCGCTACTACAATTTTCCCTTTATTTTATAATTTCTCTGTACTATACCTACATAAGAGGTGTTAATTTTTATCGGAATAGCTACTTACTTTGCTAGTTTCTCCCCTCCAAGAGTGTGGAAGCTGTTAATAAAATGTGCAATAGCAATACCACTGGGATACACCAACTTCAAGTCTATGATCATTGTCTTGACACAAAAAATGTGATACATCATTTACGATTCAAAAATGTAAAAAATTTATGTATTGGACTGTATGACAGTGTCCAACATACCTAACATGTAAAGCATACCTTCCGGAGAAGAACCACACAGAAAAGACCCAAGAAGCTAGTTACAAAAAGAAAGCCAATCATCCATCCTAGTTCCGGGTTCTTGTAGTCCAACTCATATTTAGCTTCTGCTTGTTGATTGGCAGCACGTTCACTCATTCCAAACAGGTAACTTCCAAAGCCACCTGTACAGGATGCTTATGTAAGATATTCTATATGCACTGTGCACGCAGTGAGGAAAGAATAAGGATTGAAACCATATATACTGACCGCTAAAACCGATGCCTGAGGAGGCAATAACGCAGGTCTGAATGACTGTAATTTCTTGGCGGGTCAAGGGCTGCTTCAACATGCCAGCTTTCTCAAGTGTTTTAGTCCAAGTCTTGACAAAAAAGAATCCCAATATCCCAGCAGCGACATTCAGTGGTGGTACAATACCAAAGCTGAGGCGTTGTTTCATCATTATGAAGCATAACATCACCGACAACACAAAACTCACTACAAAAGCTCTTATAGTTAACTGTTTTGTCCATGAAGGTACCTCCTCGTTCTCAAATATCCCATCTACTGACAATTCTTCGTCTTCTGATGTGTTAATATTTTCATCATGCAATCCAACTCTGCTCTCTATATTATTTTCCCTTCCACTGTCCATCTGTTCCCTCTGGATTGAAAGTTTAGACTGTCGATGAATCTTTCTTTTGCAGGTAGATAAATAATCGAAGGATTTGGAAAGTAGTTATAAAGAGTCGAATCGCATGTTCTCGTCAAGAATGGCAGCTGGCAACTTGCACGTCAACACTGCATATACATTTCATTTGAAGTTGACTAATGTGATATAATCTTGCGTTGATATACAGTTTGCGGATATTT